CGTATTACACAGTTGTATCACTATATGACCCCATTAAATGCTATATTTAATAATGTTAAAACATTTTTGTGCCGTTAAATAATATTTCATCGTGTGCTATATACGCATAATAATCTCCCCCGATTATTCAAATATGATCAAGATTTGTTTCCAGAAATATTTGATAAAAATTAGATACCTATACATGTATATTTGTCAGCGTGTATAGTCTTTTGCATCTGAAAATATTTAAAACACTATTGTACTTTTAAACTAGTTAAATTACACACTTGTAAGACTATTACGTGGTATTAGACGATTGGCAGTAGACCAGAATGACTTAATGCAGGCAGTTTCCTGCACGTCTAATCTTTGATTTTATCCTAATTAGCCTTTCAAATACGTAGAGCTAAAGTCATATCTTTGTGAAACCTGTCTGAATGGAATAGCGTCATAGTGAACACATAGCTACACTTAAGACTTTTTTAAAAGCGCATGCTTTGGTACTACCATTTAAGTCTCACATCTTTGACAGTTTCGTCGTCCCCACTATTCTGAACAACCTGGCGACCCTACTGAGGCTATGCGTCTATAAAATGTACAAGGAATCTTAATAAGGAGACACCTTAATGCCAATGCCAAAAGTAACCTCATTTCCACTGCCTCATCAGTACAAGTTTTATCCAAAAAATCTTCACTTAGATTAACTTTTATAAACGACTAATAGTTCTAATCATTGATACAATTAATCTTTTTGTAATTATTCGCGTAAAAAATAAGCACGATCTATTACGACTTGTATATTTTAGTCAGCCAAGTGCCAAAAATTTGTTTTTAAAGATATAAAATAGATAATCAGAGAATGAGCTTTCAGCATTCACCTTGGTTGGCAAAGTGAATTGAAACAACTCTTTTCTTTATTCACTGATTTATATTGATTATCTCTAGCCAGATGTTGTATTTTTAGAGAAATCTATACTATTATGATACGCGTCGTTTCATTACATTATAAATCAATATCGAAAAACACCCTACTGTGGCAACACTGTAGACAGATTCCTGTACGTCTAATCCTTGATTATATCATAATTACACTTTTGAATACACGTAATTATTCGTGTAAAAATAAGGACGATATATTACGACTTATATATTTTAGTCAGCCAAGTGCCAAAAATTTGTTTTTAAAGATATAAAATAGATAATCAGAGTATGAGCTTTCAGCATTCACCTTGGTACACGTGTACACTTGTTAAATTGCACACTTGAGAGAATATTTCGTGGTATGATTCGATTGGCAGTAGACCACTGTATTCCCAGCAAGACTTAATGCAGGCAGTTTTCTGCACATCTAATTCTTGATTATATAATAATTACACTTTTGAATAAACGTAATTATTCGTGTAAAAGATAAGGACGATCTATTACGACTTATATATTTTAGTCAGCAAAGTGCCAAAAATTTGTTTTTAAAGATATAATATAGATAATCAGAGAATGAGCTTTCAGCATTCACTTGGTTGCAAAGTTATTTGAAACAACTTTTTCTTTATTCACTGATTTTATTGATTATCTCTAGCCAGATGTTGTTGTATTTTCTGGGAAAACAAAGCTCTTATGATACGCGTCGTTTCATTACATTATAAATCAATATCGAAAACACCCTATTGTGGCAACACATCTTAATCAACAATGCCACTTAAATAAAACTTGGTGCAGCTATAATTCCAGTTGACTTACAGTATGATGCGTAATATATGTAGAAACGCAAGTTTTAACGATTTACAATGACTTACAATAAACGTTATTCATAGTTCGTTCAAACTTAAATTTCTCACCAATGCTGTATTTCTCGGGTCGTATGAGATAGATTATGCTCACCGCAAGCCAATCAAAGTTGAGAAATATCTTGAAATATATCGTTAGGTGTTGTAAAACCAAGTTGATCAAGAAGTGTAGCGACTTGATTTGCCTACAGTGTGTCTGCATTTGCTTCATTTCTGATTTTTGGCAATATTTTGTTATCACATAAAAAAGAAGGAAGCAATGTTAGTAGTTCAAAGCTACCGTGGTCAACATCGATGTTATACTCGTTAAAATACATGAATTCCAATAAGCTTCAGTAGAATTCTTTAAAACCGGATAACTTCAAGCTTTTGTAACAAATCTACTGTTGGAAGAAAGCTTGTAATCATTTGTATGATGAATTTCTGATGGCAATGAAAAGTAAAAAACGAAGTGAATATTTACTTAAAAACATTACTCAATTATTTCAGAATGATTTAAATTATTCATAAACATTATGGTAATCACAAAAGCTTGGAGTTCTACTGACCTTGACTGGCGTCGTAAATAGAAGAAGAATAATTCTTACTCATAGAAATTTCGCATTTATTGTTTAACTGCAATGTCATTTCTCTTAGCTACATTTACTCCAATATTTATTGATTTTAAAATCGTATTGCAAATCGTTATAATGATACATATCACGTATTTCACAGTTGAATTACCGCATGAATTGGCAATGTTTATGATTTTTACTAACATTTGTTTACCATTGAAATTATGTTTGATCAATCTATATACACGCAAAACCTTCACTCGCACTATTTCTCATATATGATCAAGATTTACTCCTAGAAATATTCGATAAAAGTATTTTAAATTACGTATAAAAGTATATTGGTCAGCGACTATAGCCTTATTGCATGAACAATATTAACGCGGTAATTGAAAATAATGTTATGTTATTCAACATCGATATCATAATGAAAATTTCCCAGTTTTTGTAGCTACTTATTTAGTACAAAATGCACATTCACGTCTTAAACAGCAAATAAATGGTTGTGCCACTTCCTAAAATAAGTCATTGAGAAAAAAAATATTTTTGCTTTAAACATCTTGACATTAACCTTACGTAGGTTAAATGGTACATAAATTCCAATATCAATAGCGTTGCATGTAATCCCTTTTTATGTAATACATATGAGGCAAAAACAAATAATTTGTCCCATTTTATTCACTATTTTTACAATTTATGCATAACTTGAATATGAAATTTTTTAGTTTTTCTTTAATGCAATTTTCGCATGAACTGTATGTTTGAAACGAGCCTGAATTTTATATTGCATTGACAAAGCAAAAAAATTATTAAGTTATGCATTTCTGTATTTTTGTACTGACAATATAGCTTTAAAAAGTAGGGTAAATTTTCAACGTTAATCGAGCGAAAATATGGCAGAACATCAATTGTTAGTTGAGAGAAATATGTATTGCTCCCCCAGAAATGATAGCTTGTACGCTTATAGTGAGGTAATGCATTTTGAACTTGAGTATTGTAAATTGATATTTTACATTCTTTAACTTAATCCTCTATTGATTTTTCTTGCCCATATCATACAGCAATACCAGATTTGCAGCAAAATTCATTTCTCACTCACAACAGATTGACAGTAAAATCAAGCAAAATCATCTTTTTATAATGTCAATCACCGCCAAAATTTTTCAGTCATGATCAATTCTTTCAATGTGATATAAAATTGGTTCACCTAGACAAGTTTTGCACAAACAAGTTCAACTTAGGCATTGAAAATTTGTTGAAATGTACAATGCCAATTTAACTCTTATTTATACACCGTCCATTACTAACATTTGTTTTCTTATGTTTAAACTCTATAAACATTAGCTGAATTAATATAAGTCAGAAAGATGAAAGAATGACTTTTCCAATAAATCTTTGCAAATGATTTATAAAAATAAAATAAAACTTAAGTCGAGAAAAGTCATACCACAAATCAGGGCGGATCTAGGATTTTTCAAACATCAGTCATAAAACTTCGGAGGTGCTCCGCACCTGGGGGGGCGGTCTGAGGTATTCTCCCCTGAGAAATTTTGAATTTTAGAGCCTTGAAAATGCCATTTTCAGCGTTTTTGAGCAATGCATAATGTATTTTGTGGGCATCGTTTTTGCACAGAAACAACACATTTTGCTTATCTTCAGAGTCAGAGATGATGACTACCGCTAAGGTTGTCGAAACGTCAGTCAACAAAAACAAAAACAGTCCTTCTCAGGAACATACCAACCTGGACGATCGACATTTACAAATATTTAACGATACTCCCGGCTTCAAACCATTTACTTTAGTATAATGCTAATAGCATAAAATTTATTTTTGTTCCGCTATATTAATTGGTCCATGTCAGACATGCAATAGAAACTCTTTTAGCCTATGGTTTGACTTAAAAAATTTTATTGTTCTGGATGCTTGATTTTTCAGTAACCAAAGTCAAATGTCGACATGTTTAAATACGTTAAAATGTAATGAAACAGTAAAATCTCTCGAATATTTTTATTTAAAGTACACACAGTGCATAAATTATAAGGGCAAACTTACCCTCAGAGTTTTGAATATATGGTGGTCAGAAATGGCAAACGAGTACATTATAGATATAAACCTGTAAAGGACTTGTAGACTCCCTAGATTAACTGAACGGTACCTATGCACTATATTGAGAATAATAACGCTAGACCTTCAACAAAATGTGTGAATCTGGTTGTTCTGCCTGGAGTAATGTGTGCATCTGAGGTAATATCGTATCACAAGAATTGTTTACTTGCTTCAGAGTCCACTATGTAACTTTTATAAAGTTTTATTGAAAAAATCATACGAATATTAGAAAAGCATAAAAGCTTTTAGTAACACTTGCTTAAAAAAGTTTGTTTCTATTCAGAAAGATAAGGTGTCTTAGATGTAAATGGTTTTTAGTTGTGCAAATTTTGAAGACAAATTATTGTCTTTAGAATTTTGTTGAGTTTCAATTGAAAGATAGTAAGTATACTTTCACATCAACAAACACCGCGCCAATGAATGAGCATGCAAGTATTTTCTGTCAAAATTCTTTGAAACAAAAAGTTTCATTTGCATACTAAATCTATGACAGTATGGGAGCTGTTTTCAAACGCAAAAAGTATTACAAAAATTATTGAATTATCTAATGCTTTCTTTATTTATTTCTTAAAATACAGGTTCAACAACAGGCTGATTAAACGTCATTAAGAAGCAGGGCAGCAAGAAAGACGCTCGATGAATTTGGTCTCCTCGGACATTTTGAAGTCGCTGTACTTTATAACGTTGCCTTGAATAAGCGTGCCACAATCTTTTGCAACACGTTGAATCTCGTAATCGGTCAAGACTCTGTCCCAGACGTTCATTTCTGTTAAATCGCCTTTAAATGAATCTTCTTTTTGGAATGCAAAAGTTGATCCAGTGTCTTGATCTTGTCCAATAACCCAAGTACCGTTAGCCTCAATTTCTTCATCTTTGTTGATATTTTGTAAACTTTTCTCAAATTGACCATTCTTGTAGACTGCGAAAATGCCACTGGACGATTTCCACGTGACGCACACATGATGAAGTTTACCGTCAGCAAGATTTACACCAGTTCTAGTTAATAAAAATATTTAATATTTGTGACAACAGAAACTTTCTAGCCATAATAGTTGGGCACATCTTACAAAGTGAAACAGATTAAATAACTGTCTGTAAGTGAAAAAAATTCTTAACTGTAATTGTCAAACCTTGTAGAAAAACTGACACCTTGTTGACACTGCGCCAAACTGATGTTGACGTTTAGTTTGATCGCGTTATTTTTATTTGAAGTCTTTTCATTTTGCTGACGATATTGATTGCCAAGACGAGTGTGTTCGAAGATTTTATTGCGTCATTTTTTGGGCAGCTAAAAATGTTTTGCAAAACCGTAATGAAATTTTTACGGTTAGGCATAGAAACAGACAGATTGTGCTCGGTTACTTTTAGACTTTGAGAAGTTTTTAAAACGACAAACTTTGAGAACCTTTTGCTGAACTAATCTAAATTCTAGCAAGCCTGAGCTCATTCATAAAGATTTTTTAATTTTTATTGTTGTAAGCATTTTTGGGTTTTCACAATCACATTGTGCTAGTTTAATTTTTTTATTGCATTATTTAAGAAAAAAAGTGCTTACTGTAATTGCAAACTTATTAAAAAACTAATGGCACTTTTGGGAAAACTCAAAAGCAGATCAGTGAGTGCAAGCCCGAGACCCAAGGTTGAGGTTTGCACCTGCTTGAGACTTCTCACAAATGTCTTCGAAGTTTTGCATGAGATAGTGCAAACACAAAAAATATCTTTTACTTCTTTTTTAATATAACACGAAAGCAAAATATACAAATTTAAAATAAACATTTAAATTTTTCATGTAAAATATATTCATGATCGATTTGCAAATTCCCATTGAATGAATGATTGTTATGATTGATTTGACTGGTTGAGCTGAGATGTGTTCTACACCGGCCAATGCAAACACGGCTATAGACCAATCAGTGCACGCGTTTTAACGTTTTTATTTTATAAACTCGTTTGACAAACAGGCTTTGTAATAGTAAAAAGGCTTATAAATTCTGCAAACTGGTAGTTTGAATTAGTACTCATGATGCTCTAGGGCCCTGAATGTCACAAAATAGATATTGCACAAAGTGCGGACGAATCTTCAAGCAATTCAAGCAATGTCATTATGTCATGTGATGTTCTAAACGATACTTTTCAACTAGCAAAAAAATGCTGGGGCCATTATATCAACACTTGAGTTATAGTCTTTGCTTAAGGAAACGAAAAATGACCGTAAATACCAGAAACACTGTGCAAGCCGATTCAACACACTGGCAGCCAGAACGGTATAGTTTTGCACCGCTTTTCAAAGTTTCACGGATAACCATGCTGTTTTCGAAACATAACGGTCAGCGGTACGGTTTTATACTTTTTCATACCGGCGTCATGTGAAAACTATCCCAAACTGTAAGAGTTTTGAATTGTTTTCAAACCAGTCTGCCGGTATCGTTGCAAGGTTCATAACGACAAGTGGCCAGTAAATTTTAAATTGAAGAGGCATTTAAACCAAAAGCACTTCAATACAAATCAATGTGTTGAATGTTCAGCAATGATATTTTCATTTTTAATAGCTATAAAAATTTACGTAAACAAGGATTTGGAAGTAAAGTCGATTGACGAAAACTTACCTGTAATTAATTTTTGCTATATACAAAGTAGGATCTGGATGCATATCCATCATAAAAGTATTTCCCCATGGTGTGTAACTCACTTTGTAAGACAAGGGTGTAGGATAATATTGGCTTGCGTATTTAGCAGGTGTGGACATCCAAAAGCCTGCTGAGATAGCACTTAACTTTACAGATCCTTTGGTAACTCCATACTGGGTGATTTCGTTGCCGTCTGTATTCATGGCACAGGCACCTGTGAAAATATCATTTTTATTAAAAAATGGGTAAGAAAGAACATTTGTCATAACTTTTGGATCCTTATAAATAATTGCGTAAGAGTTTCATAAAATTTTGAAATAAAGGTAAATGACGTTTCAAACGCTATTGCAAGCCTATTTTTACACAATAATATGCCGAGTATCCTCTAATGGTGTCTACATGATTATTGCATTGTTAATATGGCTGCTACATTGTGAGATAACTAATTTGTCAATCAAGCTTGAAGAAAAAACGAAAGAAATTAAAGATGATATGAAGTTGTTGGTGCGCCTATCGAAATTGCAAGAGTAACACATCCCCGGAGCAATGTTTAGAGATTAAAAACCAACAACACAGAATTAGAATAACTTAGACGATGTAACTCGACTTTATTATGAGTGCAGGTCATTAGAATCTGAACAAAGATTCACAGCAAATATAACGTATCATAGTATAAAACATCAGGTCTTATGTTTTTAGTATGTAAAATTGCACTGGACAATTGCAATTCATGGTAAGCAAGGCGGCTTGTGCAAATTTTTGTAAAATTATTGATCGCAGTTAGTTTGGCCGATTATGAATTGTACAATTTTACTTGTCTATATTTATTTATTAGCAGCCTACATTTATTTCTGCAGTTTGATACTAATCTGATAGCCTTTTTGTTGTTCAATCTTCTTTAATCTTCAGACAAATATTTTTTGTTTATATACGTTTTTGTCTATTTTTGAATAAGTTAATTGCTAACTGTGTTGCATTGTGGTCAACTAACTCTAGTCTACATACAAATGTCGGCACGCCTTCTGTCAATCTTCAAATAAACAAAAAACAAAAAAGATTGTTTTCTGAAAGATATTTTTGAATGTTGCATCTGACAATAGTTAATTTTACAGCATTAAAGCATATTACAAAGTTTTCGTTCGCTGCCTCCTAGCCTCTTTTGATGCAACAATATAGTGATTTCACTACAAGTTTTCTTTCTTCTGGAATAACCGAGCTTCAATTAGCATGAAGATGTTTCCACATTTTAAAATAAATGAAAGTTTGACAAAGTGATATATTGCTTGTGTTTATAAAATAAACAATTAGTCTTTTCGTTGGACATCTCAAGGAAGGGCGCAAAATTTTCAAAATATATAGAAAGTCACTTGCTGTTTGATATTCTTTTTATTGTCACTTCTAAAAAGCTGCAGCTTTTTAGTATTTCGCGGTTGAATTTCAAAATTCCTCGCTCCTTCAATTTTGAATGTCGCCATTTTTTTGGTGCGGAACTCTTTGTATCTAACTGCCGTTGTCATGGTGAGACAAATTTATTTACGGGCGCCATCTTGAAAGGTGGCAAAAAGGCGAGATTCTTAATAAAGTCCAAGTAAAATGTAAGTTTTAAATGAAGAATTCTGTCGAAAATTTTGGAAGCAAACCTAAACTGTCACCTTTGCACTTATGTGTCAACATAGGAGAAGCCTGTTTTAGACCTAAATCTTGTCAGTTTTAAGAACTCATGGTAAAATCGTGCGCAACTTCACTTTTCGAAGGATAGCAACGCATCTTTCCATAATTTTTTCCTTAAACACTAAAGCTTGGTAAGAAATTGATCATTACCACTAAAGAATTTCTTGTTAATAAGCTTTTAAAGAGGCACATCATTATGCATAGGCGTAAGATAGATATAAAAATTGTAGAACAAACATTTAGCAGCTTACAGCTGTTACAGATGCCATAAAGTACATGCCTTTCCGATTAACCTGCTGTAAGTGATGCAAGAGCAAAAATAAAGTTTTAAAAGTATTGCTATCAGGCTATTAGACTCACTAAACACGAGAATTACTTTCATTCAATGTTTTGACCACTCTTTCTACAAGGTCACTCCACATAGGATAGGTGAAGTCCATTCTTTACTTTGGAAGAGTAGAATTCTGAAATTTCTCTTTTTAAATATAGAAGGACAACATTTTTTTGGTTTTGTAGAAGCTGCACTAAACACTAAAGTGGTTGCTCACTTACTTCTAACAGAGGATCTTGTCTCTATTACATACCAATGTCCCAAAACTATCTTTAGTTGCTGTTTCCATGCATTTATTATATAAAGAATGACTTCAAAATTAATTCAGATATTCATTATTTTAAATCAATATTATAAACTTTTATCAACGGGCACAGAGTAAATTAGCAAATTAGTATGTATAGATCAGAATCATAACAGCATTTCTTGTTGAGAAATATGTATACAGGATCACTTTTTCAATCAATGTGCCTGAAATCTTTCACTCTCCTTTTCATGGTATGACAAAGACAACTTTTATCTATGATAGTCCTTGCTAATCCAATTTACAATAAAACAAAGTTTCAACCCAAGCAAAAAACCCCAGCTTTCTGGCTTCTGAAATGGCTCACTGAAAATATTCTTTCATGAACTGTAAAATATGATCTTGAGCATAAAGCCTTAACTGAAGGTTAACAATCATCACAACCTATGAAAGAGATTGTTGAAAAATACAAACGTTTACCACTTCTGACATATTGTAAACAAATAGTAACTAAGTTTCTTCTAAGAATCATATAATGTTGAGTTCTAGCTTGGTGTTTTGAGATTTTATGCTTCTTAACTGAGATTTTTAACTTCTTTTTGCAAAATACCTCTCAGTTGTATACAGAATGCAATAAGAATGACTTTAGCAATATTTACACTAACTCTTGATTAGCAATGGAAGTTTATGGAACTTACAGCCTTCTTCATTTTTGTACCAAGCTGCGCTTTGGCCTTTCTGTTTACAACCACAAATGGATATTACTCCTCCGGATGAAAATGGGTGGCAAACGAGTGACGGGAAACTGCAAGTCTAAAGTCGTATGGATGACCATTCCCCTAGCGCCGGATTCCCTACTTGACAACGTTCATTGTGGTTGTAAGACTGGCTACAAAGTGGCTGTAACTCCCAACGTTGTTTATGTAACAAAGCAGGAGTGAAGTACAGATGTATGATCGTGTACTACAAACACGAATGTAGATTCGTGTAATAAAAATTAATGCCCAACATAAAGTTCTGATTAGAGCCAGAGAAATAAACCAAAAACAAATTGTAAAATCAAATTTATTGTAACGTTTCGTCGTTACAAATGTAGATATTGATGACGACAATGATGTTGAGGAAGAGGAGTTT